ACATTAGGAGAGAATTTAGATTCCAGTGTGTGTCATTCCTCGCCTTTCCTTCAGTCTCCAGGCAGTTGTAGGGTTCCTCAGAGCATCCTAGAAACAAACTCCTGGTAGCTCTTTTAAGTTTATGACTGGATTCAGCTAGAGCTTCTGATGAGCCAGATTTGTTAGAGAGAAAAGTAATGAAACACGCTAGGTAAGATTAAACAGGAGTACTTGTTTAGATATGTGGGCAGCCACTTAAGGTGGTGGTGTTAAAGTGCCCTTGAGTTGGTGCCAACTCATAGCAACCCTGAATAGGGTCTCTGAAGAGCAGCTGGTGAGTTTGAATTGCCAGCCTTGCAGTTCAAGGTGACCTGTGGTCCAATGCTTATCCTATAGCTCTACACCAGGACTCCATTTTAAAGATAGAACTGGGATAGTCCAGAGCAATCTGGCACGTTACCCAGATTGCAAGTGTACTGCTCAGGGTCCATCATCTTGCTTCCATGCTGGATGTTGGGCCAGGGAAGACCCCAAAGTTAGTTAACACTTATGTGCTAACAGAATTCTCAAACTTTCCATAAAGTCCAAGCCATTTGTTTTCTGTAGAAGAGTTTTAGCTGTGTGCTGTTGAGCTGATTCTAACAGCAACCCTATAAAACAGCTGTAACATTCCAACACTGTTTATGGAAGCAAACTGCTGCAACATCTTCCACTGAGAACAGTCAGCCTTTCAGTGAGCAGCTGAGCACTTAACCACTGTGCCACTAGGACTCCATAGCCACAGTTGTGTGCTGTTGAGTCGGTTCTGACCCATAGCGATCTTGTGTAATGTTTCCAATAAAGGCCAGTAGGTTTGAACTGCTGTCCCATGGTGTCCTACAGTGCCATACCAATGTATATTAACCAGTTGGTGTTGATGTTAGTTCCAATCCATAGGTACCTTGTATAGTTTCCAAGGAGTGGCTGGTAGCTGTGAACTGCCAACCTTGCGGGTTAGCAGTCCAGTGTTTATTCTGCAGCGTCACACTACGACTCATAGTTAAGCGCCATTAAGTCGGTTCATTGTAGAGTCTCGTATTTATTCACTTATAGTGACCCTGGTAGTCTAGATGGAAATCAAGAGAATGATGTTTCCTGTATGATCTGAAAACACCAATTCTTTGACAGATGCAGTTTGTTAGAGATCCAGGGTTCCAACATTGTCTTCAAAAGGTGCTCTACAATAGCATGTTCTTTACACCTTTGCAAGACCCACCTGGGATCACCTTATCCGTATCTATCCTTGAGTTCTTGGCACATATTCTAGAAGGAAAAATGTTCTGGCAACAAGTGGGAATAAGGGCCCCCAACATCAATTATGCTGCCATAAATGCATTCTTATAGCTCCTTAAGGGGGCCCCTGGTGGTGTCATGGGGCATGCAATGGGCTGCTGACTATAAGGTCAGCACTTCAAATCCACCAGATGCTCCATGGAAGAAAGATGAGGCTTTCTGCTCCCGTAGATTGACAGCCTTGGAAACCTGGAGTCGGAACTGACTCAGTGGCACACAGTCCTCACCACCACTACCACAGCTCCTCAGGGAAAACTGATTCATGGTCAATTCTAATCCTTTGAAACCAGGCTTTAGTCTTGGTAAGATTTAAGGGAGTTCCAGAGTGGTGCAAACAGTAGTGGCAAAGTCGGTTCACACCTACCCAGAGGCACCTTAGAAGACTGGCCTGACTAGCAATGTGTCTTAGAAAGGTCACAGCCTGGAAACCCTACAGGGAAGCTGGACTGTGTACACATGGAGTCATCATGAGTCAAAACTGACATGGTGTGGAAGGGACATCATGTTGATAGTGTGCCTGGGAAACGGGCTTTCCCATTTCCCCACCATCAGGATCTGGACCAGTGACCACCACCCCCTTGCAGTAAAGGCAGGGATAGCCTGCAGAGGACTGTGTGGAGGATGACCTGTATTTGAATCGCAAATCTACCACTACCTTTGTGACCTCAGGGGGTCCGGGTACCTGATCCTGTGGTGGGTGCCCTTAAGAAATTGTTTTGGTTTTTATTAAGTGACATTAGAGAGTTGATTTTGGTACCAACTGACAAGCCTGTACACAAAAGGTAGGCCAGGTACAGCTGCTGTGTGATGACGATTCCTCGTTGAGCTCTGTGGCTGCTAGGTGGGCCCAGGCCTGCAGCATCGGTAGTTGGGATTGTACATGCAGTGAGAGCACCAGCTGCACCTGTCTCGGCAACAGCTAGACAGAGATGAGGTCAACACAAGAGGCAGCCCGTGGAAAGTGGAGAGCTTTATTGGTTACATATTGTGCTGCAGAGCCAACAGAGGATACATGCAGACAGGCAGCTTCCACTCTACACATGCACCCAAGGAGCCCTGAGTCACTGCTCATGGCTTTGCCCTGGCTTCCAGGGACAGGGTCCGGCCTCCTGGGTCCTACACTTTGAGCAGGAATGGAAAACTGCTGCACCTGGACTCCAAGGCAGCAGGGGGAGGCCAAGTACCTGCCTGAGCAAGTAGTGTGGACAGACTGACTGATGGCCCAGCCAAGGGGCCAGTAATGCAGTAACAGTTTGAGGGCTATCTCCCTCACCCTCCCAATCTTTAAAATACAAAAAAATAGAACTTTATTCTCTTAAAAATACATTCCGTTCAGTACATGCTCTGAGCTGTGAAGCAGCAGCAGCAGAATAAGGGCCCTTTTCTGTGATCGTGGTTGTGGCCGTGAGGAGAACCCTGTTCCCCAGCCGGGGTACTCAAAGGGCAGTCCCTCAAAGCCGCTCTGCCAAGCAGTCTTGTCAGGGGAACAAAATAACCCAGCTCACAAAGGCAGCCAAGAACCCAACCTCTGGGTCCCTGCTCCTTGACTAAGAAGTGAAAGCACTTGGCACTGATGCGTTAAATAAAAACCTGCAAGCTGCCTCAGGACAACACGACCAAGCTAGACCCACCCCTATGGAGGGTGACAATTTATGTGCAAGCTCATCTGCACAGTTCACCCACACAATAGCTGTTCCATTGCCAATGAAAGGAAAGCCATCACAGCTGCTGTGCCCACCACCCCTGGGGCTTTCTCTGCTTGGTTTTTGTGTCAGAGTGGAGAGGGGACAGGCAACAGCAGGTGGACGAGAGTAGTTCACACCATTTAGACAACTCCACTTCTCCTACACAGCAGCTCTGCACCGCTGGGCCCCCAGCCTCAGCAGGAGCCTGTCCACAGCCACACGCCTGTCTGTGGATGTAGAGCCAGAGTCTGCATTAAATAAGACTTGTCGTCACGGTGGGTTTGTTGGCTGGCACGGTGAACACATTTGGCTTGATTACACAATGAGTCATCTACCAGGACTCTCCTCTACTTAAGTTTCCTTCAGGGTCACTGATGGTAAGACCTGGGTCCAAACACCTTGTTGCTTTTCAGAAATGAGCCTTCTAACTTTGGACGTGAGAGCCAGCCTCGCCAGCCATCCGTTTGAGGACTACAGGAACTGACCCTCCAATCTTCAGTTGCTGTTACAAGTGGCATTTTCTGCAATGCTGAGAACATTTAAAAATACAATCTACTCAACAGCGGTTCTAGAAAGTGTGCAGATGAAGGAAACAAAATGTATCCTGAAATAATGGTTACATTGAACCCTATTGCACTCAGACTTCAAGATGACAGCCCCAGCAAGAGGATACCTCAGCTGTTCCTCTTCCACAGAGCATTGTGGGTAGTGGCAGATATTGGTGCTACTGAAGCGTGGAAAGATCTAGACTTTGGCACCAGGAAGCTACAGCACCAGAATCCAAGGCTCCAAGGCCCAAAGATAAAAATTATTGGCGACATCTTTTGGGGTGTGACTTGGCACTCGTCCATTTCTGCTACCGGAGAAGAGCCGCAGACTGGTGTCCTGTACCCTCAGTTGACCACCAGAGGTGTGTTTCCACTGGACCGTTAGGATCACCAAGCAGTGAAGGAGAATGGCAAGGAGGCTGCAACCCTGAGCCTACTAGTTTCTGGCCAGTGACTAAGATCAGAAACAACAGGAAAAGATCTTGAAATCTGCATCTTAAGCATATGAGGCAGGGATGTAGAGAGAAAAGGCAAGCACATGACAATGCCCTTAGATTGGCAAATCTCAAGAATATGGAAGTGTGCGCAAAACATTCCTGCCTCTCCCCAGGGTTGTAGAAACTGATGCAGACGAAGGCTGGGTGAGCACGGGATCCCACACTGACCAGGGGCAGACATGACTCAAGAGGCCAAATACTTGCCAGGAAATTCCTGGGGAGGCAGGAGGCAGGAGATACATAGTTATGGAAGGCATCCTGGTCTGGGCCAAGTGGCTGTGTGGCACTGGGCAAGGTTAGTGGTAAGGAGGGCCTTGCAGGCCATCTGAATTAACCCATTATTTTGCAGACTGGAGCACGAAGGCCTAGGGAGCCTTTTAAAACATGAGACAACTGGAAAGTATACGGCCCAGAAAAACAACAAAAGAGGCAGGGGGCAGGGCACCTTCCCAAAATGAGAATTCTCCCACGTGAGATGGTGGAAACTAAGAATCTCAGAATGCCTTTTGTTGTTAAGTGCCGTCAAGTCTGTTCTAATTCACAGGGACCCTGTATCGGGTTTGTGAGGAGCAGCTGGTTGGTTTGAACTGCCAAAGTTGCAGTTAACAGTCCATACTTATCGTTCAGCGCCACACCAAGACTCCAGAATGGCCTTAGGATCTATCTATTTCAAAGAACTCAATTTATAGATGGGAAAGCTGAGACTCCAACGAGACAATATGACTTGCCCAAGGTCACACAGCAACCAAGTAGCAAAGCCACAAAGAAAAGCCAGTTTCCTGATTCCTAATCAAACACTCTTTTCTTCCATGGTGAAGGCCACTGTGCCTGCTGCATAAACAACCACCTTTCGGGAGGATCCTTCTTTGAGAGAATGCGACAGAAAAAGCAGCCAGGAATACATGGTTCTTTTGGAAGTTCCCCAGATGACTGGTATAACAAGGAAACAAAATCAAGTTTTACTCATGTGACTTCTGGAAAGGTTTGCACTGTGCAGAACTGGGGCCCTCGGTGGGAATGTTTCGCCTTTTCTCCGATGCTGCCATCACCCTGAGAGTCCACTGGCCACTTCCGTAGGAATGCATCTGCTTGGTAAAGTGCAATACCTCCTGGGGGGAGTGAAGGAGGAGGAAGAGGAGGGAGTTCTCATGGAGGGACAAAGGGAAATTGCTTCTCCCTGCTTTTCCCCTGGCTGGGAGCTTCCTAGACAACAGAGGGCCAGGGGCGGCCCCGCTTAGTCTGGGGATACTCCAAGGTGGACTCGATGAACCTGGCCTGAGGTCTCCAGACACAGGAGAGCACGGGTGAGGCAGCAGCATTCCTGGGGCCTTTGGAAGAAAGCAGAGGGCCAGGGGGGCAGGAGGGGAGAGAGGGAGCCATTCCAACAGGAACCCATTTGTTCTGCCCCCAGGAGGCCTGGCCAGAGGCGCTTCACTCTTAAGGGTTATCCCAGGATCCCTCTGAGGCAGCACAGTTCTCTCAGCTTACAAGTCTGAGGAAAGAACGCCAAGGGTTTGAAAAGCGCTGGAAGCCCCTGGGTGCTTGGAGCTGATGGCTACTTGGGCCCTTAGGGCAAACTAGGAGTGAAAGACTATACTGTAGAGCCTGAGACTCAGACCCTACCCACACCCAGAGGGGCTGCCTGAAGCTACAGAAACAACCCAGGGAGCAAAGGAGCTTTGGGCTGTTGTGTGGTGGGGATTCAAGGAGTTTCTCTATTGTCTCCACCTAGGGGCTGGAGTGGTCCGTGTACTAGGGGCTGGGGGGCAGGAGGGATGAAGGGTGAGGACTCATGCATCAGGGAATCAGGGAAGAGCTGGCGTGGGTGTTGGTGCCCAGCTGTATGTAGTCTCTGCTCCCCCTCTGACCAGCTGGCAGAAATGACCTGTGCAGTCTCCCAGCCAAGGCCTTGCATCTCGCCTGGGTGAACATGGCTCCTTCAGAGGAGTGGAAGGTGGCCCAGGTGAGCAGGCGGAGCAGAGGAGACAGCACACCCCAGCCCACCAGCTCACTTCTCCTCAGTACAGGGCCGAGGTGACCGTAAGCGCTCCTCAGCCCGAACCCGCCCAGGCTCCGGCAGCCCCTGCTTTGCAGGCAATTCCGACTGTTCCAGGGAGTTGTGCAGCCGCCTGTGGACACTGAGTGTGCCATCTTCACTGTCCTCCTGTGCCAATAAAGGACAGCAGTGAGCTGCACAGGAAATATACTCTGTCCCCACCCCAATGGTGTACAGCCCAGACAGACCAACCACAGTGTGACTGAGAGGACCTGCATGAGTGGAGGCTGGGGGTCTTCAGAGAACAAGGCCTGGGCTGGGAGTTCTACACAGGTAGGCAGCAGGCTCCCGGGGAAAAGTGTTATTTCCTTGGGGGTTGGGGGGAGCTGCTAAAAAAGAAGCTAGACAGCCTGTTCCTGCTCTGCGTGGAAACGATCAAGAAAACTCACATCCTCCCCTTTCATACCCCACACCTGCACCTCGTCCTGGATCTCCTTCAGATGCCCAATGCCCATCTTTCTCCCACTCCCCTTCTCCTACAATTCCACCTACCAAGCAAAGGCAAATCAAGGAATAACACAAGTCTCCGGAAAAAAACCAGGCTGTAGGGTAGAAAGAACATGGGATTCAGAGACAGAATCTTGGAGTCGAATCCCAGCTCTTCCACTATCCACTTGGGTGACCGTGACACCTGGTCTCTGACCCTCAAATCCTAACTCTGACAGCTGCCCACAGGTCTAAATGAGGTGAGGAGCAGGGGATCCCCTGAAAAGTGTTAAGTGCAGTGTCAGCTCTTACAAGGTTCCTCCGATTCACACACAGTAGACACCTGCCTTTTTAAAGAAGGGAAAAGTTGAGATGGAAAGTTATTTTTTATCATCACAGGTTCCCATCTACAAGGCAAAACCCCTGGCTTCTCCATCAGATGGTGTGCTGACACTCGTGACTCTTAACGCAAATGATTCTGGATTTACCTGCTATACAGTCACACTGAGTTCTGTCCTGAGGTGGATGCTGTAGCGGGTCAGATAGCTAGAAAGTGGCCCTCAGTCTAAAGCTTGTACAGCAGGCCCAGCATCAGCCTTTGCTCTCCACATCCCCTGAGCCACAGCCTGCAAAGACATGCCATCTGTCCCCGACAGAAAGGGCAGCAGGCTGCCTACTTCCACTCACAGCTGCCCGTCAGCTTGTAGCTGCTTCTCAGGCTTGCTTCCCGGTGCTCTGTGGGGCCGTAAGGGGAGAATAGAGTCGGTGACCCTTTCTGCACCGCCCTCATCTGTTAGGGCAAAGTGGAGGTCATGCTGCTCTGTCCAGTGCCTCCAAGTGAGGCCAAACCCACGTGGTTTCCAACAGCTCTCTGAACTCCACAGTTCTAGCCAATGTTTTCCAGTTCCCTGGTTCCCTACTCCTGGGTCACACAGGCCGGAGCAGAGGGAGATGAAGGAGAAAGCAAAGTGGAGTCAAGAGCAGCAGAAAGGAGATGGGAAGAGGCAGGGACAGAAATGGTACTTACCAGGCCCGCTGAGTGGTTCCAGGCTGCCATCATGACAGTGTCTCCTGCCCGGTTCCGCCGGGTAAGCACCTCAGACACGGTGAGACTGCTCTGGCTCCTTCTGGAGGTAAGCTCAGGGCCGTCCCCTGAATTTCCTACTCGTCGAGTGCCCTGCTCCAAAAGGTATGACCTGGGCTGTTCGAGTTCTGAGAAGTCTGTGGAAGACCTCTGGGTATACGTATTGGTCGAATCTACATTTTTCCCTCTTCGAGCTGAGGGGTCATCTAAAGAGTTCAAGTCTCGCCTACTCTTCCAAGCATTCCGCACGGTAACATGTCTGGCATCTGCAGAGCCCACTTCTGAAGAGGTATTATGGCTTTTCCACCTGATTGTCTCCGCGGGGGTGGAGTGGCTATTCCTCTCCACGGGATCCGATGGCTTGATGATGATGCTGCTCCGAGACACCACTGTCTCTGGCCTGCTCTTCAGGGGACCGTCTCCCACTCTTTCAGTCTCTGTGAGCTGCAAGGTGATGTCATGCTTGTGAAGGGAAAGCTCAAAGGGGGAGCTGATATGGTTGCCAACGGCCGTGAGCTCCGGTGGTCCAACCTGGATGTTGCTGGTGGACGTGTGCCTCTCTCTGAAATGCTCCCCTGGGGTGGCTCTTGGGTTACTGCTCTCAGTGGGGTAGATAGTAATGCTACTGGTCACTTTGTTTGGCCCCGATTTGGAGGTGGATTTCTGTTTCTCCTGTGTAGCCTCCGGCCCAGACCCTCCCATGATTTTTTTCACATCCTTATCAATGATGACGGGCTTGATGACGGCTCTGGACCGCAAGGCCTCTCTGGGGCTAAAGGGCCTGTGGTTCTTCGCCCCAGCACCATTGGCATCTGGGAGCTCCGCAGCACTAGGGGAGGCTCGGACAGGTTTCACAGATTCACTTTCTGATGGAGCCTCTCTTTCATTCTCAAACAGAGAGGTTCTAAGGCTCCCTCGGGATTTCGCTTTCTCTCGAGAGTTGGACTGCTGTTTGGGCTCTGGCTCTGGAGTAATGGTTGTGTTGACCAATTTGGCAGTAACAAGAGAAGCTACATCCAAGTCATCATCGGAGTCTGGCTTCTCTCGGCCACTGGATTTGATCACTCGACACCTCAGGGCTTCATGATGACTGCTGTCTTCCATCACAACTGCCACAGGTTGACCAACTCCGTCTTTATTCGGGGTTGAAAAGCTCTGGAGGATGCTCTCTTGACTTTTGGAGTTATATGGATACTTTGCTAAAACAGGAGCTTTGGAGTTTGGGGAACTAGGGTCAGTCTCCTGACTATTGGCAGACTTTTTGCCTTTAGAGAGCCCTTCGGAGGAGGCTCTTTGTGAGGAGGCCAGAGCTCCAATGGCCTTTGAGCTACTAGAATCTGCAGTTGGCGTAACGTGATTCCCACTGCCAGGCACCTGGCCCCTCTTCCCAAAGAGGGCCTCAGCAGAGGTGTCAGAAGCCTTGACACCTCTCCCCACAGTGTCGCTGAGAGGGGGTCCATGGGTGGTGTCATTAAATGTTCTTGTTGTCTTCTCTACTTTTCCCTTCAGCCCACTCTCATTGCCTGGCCTGGAAGTTCCCTTCCACACTTTATTGTGCTCCTGGGCAGCAGGCGGGTAGCGGCTCAGCACTGATGGCTGCTCCCTGGACTTTTTCCCTTCACTCTGGGAGGAGCCAGATGTAAATTGGTCTTCAATTCTTTTTGTCTCCTGAGTCCCACTCTCCATACCTGGCCCTGTGTTGCAAGCTTTGGCTGCCCTCCTATTGGTGAAATTGGGAGAGGACATCTGCCTGTTGTTCAGGCAGTAATTCTCATTACTGAGCACTAACTCCCTGTTCCGGTGCCTTTCCCGCTTATGCTGAGGGGACAGCTCCCGGGACGTGTGCTTGGACACAGATACCTCGTTCCCATGGCCTCGAAACTTAGTCCTCTCATGCCTGACTTTGCTGGACAGGGAAACATCTTCCCCTTCTACCTCCCCATTTTCTAACTCTTTCTGTTTCTTGATTTGCAGCTTTATCTCCTCCAGCTGGCCAGCTAAGAGTCTGTTTTTATTTTGTTCACTTAGGTAATTATCCTGAAGGTCATTGTTTTTGGCCCTCATTTTCTTAAGCTCTTCTTCCAAAGATTCAAAATGCCTGATCTGTGTTTTGAGTTTCTCAATCTCTTGGTTAAGATCTTTGACTTTGTTGTCTTCTTGATTTCGGTTCTTTTCATTTTCTGATTTATTTCTTGTTTCATTCTCTACCTGCTTCAGATAGTCCAGCGTGCCCTTCCGTCTGGATTCCTTGGATGGCATTGTGGAAGAGATACCATCCTCAATCCGTAGGTCATTAGAAGCATTCCTTGTATAATCTCGGTTCATTTTTTTGTTCTGCTCCAGCTTCTGAGTGAGCTCTTTGATTAATTTCTCATTTTCTTTCTCCTTTTCATTCAAGTACTTTCTCTCACTTACAAAGCTCAGGGTTAATGATTTCAGCTTTTCTAACTCTGACACTAAACTCTCTTCAGTTTTATCTAGGCGGTCCTCAGAAGATTCCAGTTCTTTCACTTTGACCCTGAGCATTTCCAGCTCCGAGGAGATTTTCTTAGTCAAGTTTCGCTCTTCATTCAGGCTCAAACAAAGCTGGGTGCAGTCATTCTTACTCCTGCTGAAGGCCTCTTCTAGCTTCTCCAGTTCTGCCATTCGTTTCTGAAGCCGCTCAATCTCAGATTTCAACTCCCGGGTGAGGTTTTCCTCCTCCTCCAGTTTCTCCTTCATCAGCTGGCACAGATCCTCTGCTCTCTTAATTTCTTCATCTTTGCCCTCAATTCTCAGCACCCGCTGGCGGAGTACTTCAATCTCAGCCAGCATGCTGGAGTTGCTGCCTTCTGCCTGGATCACTTTGTCCTGAAGGTCCAGAAGCTCATCTTCTGCTTTCTGGAGGTTTTTTGTGGCTTCCTCCAACTCATCAAGACGTCGGCTGAGACTCTGTAGCTTAAACCGCAGGTGGCGGCTGGAGGCTGGTTCCTTGTAGCTTGCAAACTCGGCCATGTCTCCTGCCAGCGAATATGGGCTCCTAGAGGCATCCAATCCAGTCAAGAGGATGGAAAATGGCTACCTTTCTCTTGGCATCCACAACCTCCTTTGGCAACCGGAGACCATGATCAGTCTACAGAAGGAAAGCAGAAAAGAGTGTCAGCCAGCAAATCTAAAACTTGCATGTCAGCTCACATTTGTAATCTCTGTGCCAAGAACACAGCAGGTGCTCAAATTTGTTGAAAGAAGGACTTTGAGACTCACTATTACTTAGTTGTAAAATGGGGCTAAGATGCCCACAACATCTCTCCCCAATGTTGTTCTGACATAATACAAGGAAGGTTCTTGGTAAATGGCAGAGCAGTAAACAATCCTACAATTATTAATAAGAAAAAGTTGTAATGGTGAGCTAGTGTAACCTGAGAGGGATATAGATGAAACTATCAGGCTTTCTATATAAACGGCAAACTTCCCAATATACTAAAGTCATCTCCCACACCTGTTCTCAACACCTCTCCTCTTCCAAAGTATGGGCAGATTTAGAAGTAGAACAGCTCCCACATAATCTCTCCTTTGGCATTTTAGTGAAAACGCTTCCAACATTCCCGTCCATTTGGCCACCTCCTCACAAATGCTGTTAGCGATGATTTGTTATGAAATGGTCTATTTCTTTGAAAACTATTTCATTGGGGACATAAATTGCTCTAGGGAAAGGAAGGAAGGAAGGGGGAAAGTCAAAATAGACTTGCTTTGTATGTAATTTCTTAATTTTTTAAGTAGAAGAAGGGATCTCAAATATGTATGTTTAATAATTTAATGATTGTAAGATTGGCACAGGACCAGGCAGTGTTTTGTTCTGTGGTCCACCAAAACAGGATAAAAGTTAAATCTGTACATAATAAGGCCACCTCAAAGAATACCTCAAAGAGATAATCTTATCAAAGCAACAAGAAGGGAAAAGAGACAAATCTCCTATGGAGAAAGAACAACTGCCCAACAACTTGTAAATAGATGTCAAGAAGACACAAGTCTTTCTAAGGAAAGTAACTTTAACAACAACAACAAAACTTATGAATATAAAATTAATTAGGGGCACTTTTACACACACACAATTTAAGCCTGAATAATTACTAAGAGACCCTCACTGAGAATTACTGATAAATTTACTTAGGAGAATATGGTTCTTTAACAGACAAAAACTGATCTCATTAGAAACACATGGAATTCAAAAAGAAATGGTAATCAAAGAAATAGACCCAAATATTGACTCAGTTTACACAGTAACAAACAAATGTGGGGCAAAGAAGGAAAATAAAACCAAAGTGTAACTTTAACCTATACAGAGATCAGACAGAACAAGGGAATGCTGTGTGGATTAGAATCAGAAAAAGTGTGTGTCAAAGTTGTGTTCTTTCACCAGGCTTATTCAATCTGTATACTAAGAAACAATCCGAAATGCTGGACTACATGGAGACCTTAGTATCAGGATCTTCGGAGGAAGGCTCATTAACAACCTCTGATGTGCAGATGACATAACCTTACTTGCTAAAAGCAAAGAAACATTACCGATGAAATGCAAAGACTATATCCTTCAGTATGGATTACATCTCAACATAAAGAAACAACAATGCTCACAACTGGACCAATAAACAACATCATGATGAACGGAGGGAACTTGTCAAAGATCCACAATCAACACTCACAAAGCAGCAATCAAGAAATTAAATTAAATATTGCATTTTAGGCAAATCTGCTTCACACGACATCTTTAAGTTGTCACTTTGAGTACTGAAGTGGCCTGACCCAAGTCATGGTATTTTAAAACACCTGTTATACATGGGACAGCTGGACAATGACCATGGGAGATTGGAGAATTGATGCATTTGAGGAATGGTATGGGCGAAGAATACTCTTGGAAGGATGATGAGATGTCTTCTAATTTACTTTGGACATGTCATCCAGAAGGACCAGTCCCTGGCAGAGGACATCATGCTTGGTCAAGGATCAGCAAAAAAGAGAAAGCCCCCTAGTGAGACGGACTGACATAGTGGGTGCAGCAGTAGGCTCCGACACAGGGCTGACGCTGATGACGACACAGCCCTGTGCAGTGTTGCGGTCCGCGGCAGATCATGATGAGCAGGAATGGACTCAACAGCACCCTAACAACAACAGTACTGCTACAAATTTGTGCTCTTAAACCAGGAATTCTATTTCTTGGGATTCTCATTTTAAAAAGGGATTTAAAAAAAAATTTTTTTTATCATTGAGATTAAATCTCCTTGCATAAGCATGGATGATGATTGGACAAACATTACAATTCCATAATCTTTTAATTCCATTTCCCCACAAATTTTTGAAGCCCTCTAGTATAGACTGGAGTCCTGGTGTGGTGCTATCAGAAAAACGCTGGACTTCAAACCACAGGGTCAGAAGTTCAAACCCACCAGTGGTTCCTCAGATACCCTATAAAGGATTGCTATGAGTTGGAACCAACTCAATGGCACTTAACAACAACAACGATGTATAGATTAGTTTTGGGATCCATACATTTCAAATCAGTTTCTTAACTACTAATGCATACAGGGAGTCCTGGTATGGCACTGTAGGGTAATCACTGGACCACAAGAAATGCAAATCTGTGTTGGGAGAAGTATAGCCAGAATGCTCCTTAGAAGCCAGGATGACAAGACTTTATCTCTCATAATTTGGACATGTTGTTATCAAGAGGTACTATGTCCATCTCAGACATCACACTTGGTATCAGCCCAACAAGATGGGCTGAGACAGTGGCAACAACAAATGGGCTTAAGCGTAACAACAATTAGGAGGAAGGTGCAGGACAGGACAGTGCTTTGTTCTGTTGTGTATGGGGTTGCTGTCATTATCACACACAAGTAAAACTTTGAAGATCATTTTTAAATGGTTGCAGCAGTACATTAACAGGGAACTGCCAGAAATTCAAGCTGGATTCAGAAAAGGACATGTTTGGTGTAGTGGATTAGTATGTCTCTTCTAGCCCTGTTGTTGTTAAGTACAATCGAGTCAGTTTCAACTCACAGTGACCCTTATAGGGTTTCCGAGGAGCAGCTGGTGTGTTTGAACTGCTGACCCTGTGGTTCACAGTTTCAACGTAACTCATTTTCTGATGGGTCTGAGTAAGAGAAGGTGGAAGACGACGCTGGTAGGATGACATGATTCTCATTTTTAAGGTATGTTACCAGTTCCTGGAGAAGGATATTATGCTTGCAAAGTAGAGGGTCAGTGAGAAAGAGGAGACCCTCTATGTGATGGACACAGTGGCAGTGAAATGGGCTCACATGTAACAACTGTGAGTCTGTCATAGGACCAGGTAGTGTTCCGTTTTGTTGTGCATAATAAGGTCACTATGAGTTGGAACCAATGCAGTGGCACCTAACAAAACAATGCTGACTATCAATTCCACAGTACTTAACAACAACAACATCAATTCTGCTGCTAAGTATTGGTCCTCTTCCATCACGCGCAACAAGAAAAATTATTTCCTTGCAAATTGATGTGGGTGGTCTGCTAGTGTAGACTTCATCTTCAACATCATCTCGACCCTTCTTAAAATGAGTTATCAATTGTAAACTGCTTGTTTTCTCTGGGGCACTGTGCCCATACACTTTTCATAAAACATTACTAATTTCATCATTCTTCCACCCAAGCTTTACCATAATTATAAATTTTATGTTCTTGCTTCAATTTTAGCAGAATTCATGCTACTCTGATGGGGTTCTTTTCAAAATAATGTTTTATCTTTCTTAAAGCCTCAAACTAGATCCTGTTCAGACATGTTATAACAAGTTAGTAAGGTAGGAAGCCTTTGGGCCTCTTGGAAACAGTTACTTGGAAAGTAAAGACTTAAGTTTTAAAGACAGGAGATTGCTTTGGTTCTCTTTTGTATCCCCAGTGCCCAGCCCAGTGCCTGGAACATGTATAGTAGGCGCTCAGTAAATGTTCACTGAGTAGATTCTCAGTGGTGCATGATTTCCAAGTACTCTTGCACTATGCCCCCGGAGACGTCCTCTGAGCAGCTACAATGGGTCTAGCCGAGGCCCTAGCGTCTGCTACTTGACCTTTCCAAATCTCCCTGAGATTGGGAGCCCAGAGAACCTCTTGGAGGATGAAAGCATTAATTCCAAGAACTTGCCTATTTTACAGTCTGTTTATTATAAATAGACCACCATGAAATTTCTGTATTTTATTTCCTGTAGTGTCTGATTTTAACCACCTTGAAGGATGACCTTTTCTTGGGGCAGCGAAGGGCTGGAGCCAGAGTATTGAAGAACCACGCATGTGAGACACACCATACCATAGTTAAGTTCTGCAGTGGAATCCATCTTGAAGAAATGCTGCGCACATCCATTAGCATGGTCCCTCCTAAATGAGCCATTTCCCGGAAATCCTTGCCTATCCCTATAAATAAACATACATGATGCCTTTTTCCCCACCCAAAACTTTTTAAACCCCAATTGCATTAAGCCCTCCTGTCTCCACTTGCAAAACTCTTCCCTATAATAAACGTTTGCTCCTATGGAAACTGCCTCCTCTGATTATTCTTAATCAGTAGGAGGCAAGAACCCTCTCTCTTATAGGACTGAGGTGTTATCAGTACCCCAGAACACTGGCACTTATACTGATGAAAGAAAAACAACAAAAAACCCTGAAATCCATGTATAGTTTTTTCAAAATATGCATTTTCCATGAAATTTATTGGAGCCCCTCATATTTTGGGGTTCTGTTAGGTAGTGATGGTGGTTGTGTGCCACTGAGTTGGTCCCAACTCCTAGAGACCCTATACAGGGTTTCCATGGCTGTAAGTCTTTATGGGAGCAGAAAGCCTCATCTTTATTTCAGTGACTGGTAGATTCAAACTGCTGACCTAATTCGAACTGAAGTAAAAAAGAGTGGCATTTTCCCACAAATTTTTAGAAGCCCTCTAGTATTCGGGGCTCTGTCTGATGTTGGATAGTCATGTTTACTGTATTAAATCTTCTTGATGAATTGGTTATTTATATTTAGTGTCATTATTGAAAAGGTGGGATTTATGCCTGCCATTTTGCTACTTGTGTCTGTCTATACGATGTCTGTGTGGCACTGTGGGTTAATGCG